CCCCTTCCTCCCCGCCTAGTATTGTTACTTAAATCAATTAGTGGAAAAAAAAATAATTTCTTTTGCCACTGCAAAGAGAAATGCAGCAATTCAAGAATCCCTGCTATTTTAGTTTAAGTATGCGTTTACACACAGCAGCAGATCAGACACATTTCTTTAGTGCATTTAAGACACAAGTGAAGAAATATTGGCCCAAACCCCAGATTCTCTACTTCGGCAAAAATCATTCTGTAGTCTGTGAATGTTTTTCTTATGGAAGGAATAAAAATTTAATAAGGTTTCTTTGCTTCTTATTTAGGATATATATTCACTTCTTACCCAGATACATTCTTGTTCTCTTACTGATAAATAAATTTATAGACAACTGCATGTGCTCGAAGCCCCTATTAAAATAAATGCACCATCTGTATGCATACAAACAAAACGTAGCTTTGACGAAAGACCAGCTGATGGCTTTGTCACGCATCCTTACTCAGAGTGAGCTGAGAGGAGCAGTGCTCTGAGTGCAGACCTCAGACTGCCCCTTGAGCTGCTGCCTCCCTTCTGGCTCTGTCCCTGTCTCTGGGAAGTCAGAGCTGTCCCTGTTCCCCCAGGCAGGATGCACAGATCAGTTGGTGTTCAGCTGAATGAGAAAGACAGTGGTAGCCCTGAATATTTTTTTTTTTTCTTCATCTTCTGTTGTATATCCTGCCCAAGGAAGGAGGATGACACCTAATACCCTTGTATTCTGTTATGTGGGCTTCAGCATCAAGTAGGAATTGAGAGCAGTGTTTCCTTTTCCCACGTCCCCAGACTACACATCAACCAGTCAACAAGCAACGATGCCAATCTTCTTACTCTGTCAGCAGAACTAATGCTTTTAGCAGCAAGTTATGAACCTCTCTGCTTGAGCAGCTGTTTACTTATTTCCAAACACCCACTTTCTGAGGATACTGGCCATCCAGCAATCTTGGTCAATTAGCTGTTGCTTCCGAGCACGTCCCTGACATATGAAAAGCAGGTCTCACGCTAAAGATGACTCCATCCATTTGGATTAGGTACGTGGATTGTGCCCTCCTCAGTTGTGTGGGAGGGGATCCTGGAGCTCGTTTGCAAACTAGCTGGTTTCAGATGGCTTGAGTCAATCTGCATACTCTGTGAAGATATTCCAGAGAATATATTACCAGTTGTCAAGATGATAACTCAGTGGAAGTGTAATTCGTTGAGCAGTAAAACTTCCTGCGTGTGCAGCTCGCAAGGCAGTAATCTACAGAAACACAGCATGGAGGGCTGGAATGCAGGAAATCAGTGACTTTCACAATATGACATTGCTTAGCAAGAAGTTGTCATTGAAACCTAGTGTTCACATTTCCAATTTAGTTTGCCTCTAGCTCTGATGCCAGCAAAGTCCTCACGGTACTGGGAAGGAAAGAGAGAAGGGGAGGGAAAGGAAGGAAGCAGAGCTTGAAGAATGAGTGTGAGTTATATTGCATGCTGTGTATTGCCTATAAATCCTACCTGCAGCATTTACAGAAATGGAGAAATAATTATCTACTAACTTCGAGGCGCAATCTGCAAAGTCCTGGTGTCAGTGTGGTGCTTTTTGTGATGCTCGGCCTGCAGGATTGGGCCTGATGCTGTAAAACAGCTGTGTGCAGAAATGCAGCCTCTGCTTTAAACCACACGTATAATCCACCCGGCTGGCTGCAGGGCGAGGGGCAGGGGGCCTGAGGGTCCGCAGGGCAGGCTGCAGCTCGCTTGGTATGCTGCAGGAGGGAGGAGAAGGATGTTCAGCCTTGTTCTCCTGTGACCTTTGCTTGCTCGTGAGCTCCAGAGGGAGCTGTGGCTTGCCTTTTTGCTCAGAGATGATCTTGCCAGTAAGTAGAGAGCAGCAGAGGAGGGATAAACGTGTGGTCCTGTGAATCCCTCTTTTCCTCCCTTTCTCTTCACTGCAATCCTTTGTAAGAAAAGTGAGCTCAGCTTTTGTTAGCTTTCTTCATCTTTTATTAGCTTTCCCTTTTTAAAAGTTGTTTATAAAGCAGTCTGATGAAAATGTGTGTAAATACATAAAATTTAATCTATTTTCTTTGCTTTTAATATTTGTGAGGATATAATAGAAATCGGTGTGAATACCGAAGTCTCATGAAAAGGAGTGAAATTCCAGGACTGCTACAGCTGTGCTTTTTCTTCAAAAGGGAATTCAAAACCACACACAAATAGCTTTTCTTTATTATTAAAGCAGAGTGTGCTTCTTTGATGCAAAGTTGATCTGGAAAAATATTTCATTTTGAGATACTGTCAGCGTTTGCCTCTTTACGCTCAACAAGACTGATTACACTGAAAACAATGCGTAGCAAACGAGGATGCAAGGTTGTACAATCGGTGATGCATAGCCGCACATTTCATTGTCAGCTCTGACACCCTCTTGTTCTGGGTGTAGGTGGCTGGTTTGCATAATCACCAGGCGGTTATTTATCAGTAAACACACCAGGCAAAGCCTTATATTTCCGCTGGCAGCCAATCAGACCTGGTTGATTTACACCTTTTTTGAGGCAACAGTGTGTTTACATGCAGAACGAGCATGAATTTTTGGGCTGAAAGGCTTTCTCCTCATGCCAAGGAAGCATAGGCGACTAAGGCTGAATGGCGAAGGCATGGTGCTCTCACTCTGCCCTGCTAGTTCACAGGCCAAAAGCATTAGAAATGCTAAACCATACAGAGATGGACATGAAAATCCCAAGGCACGTTGCTCTATATGTAAAGCAAACCGATAGCAAATTTGGGCTCGGTTTAGGGATACCCATCTCTGGTTGGCTGCCGTGGCGTTTAATTTTACTTACCTCCTTCGGTTGAGAATGTGAAGCTGCCAAAACCAAACAGAAACTTTTGTTTCTCTGTCCAGAGATTTTATGAAGGAAAGAGAAATGTTTAAAAGCAGTGGAAACACTGCCAAAATATCTGAGGGGTAAGTGCTCAAAAAAATGATTGGACTTATTCTTATGTTGCCACTATGCTTCATCGCTGCTTGATAACTGTGAAAATGTATAAATACGTGTACAGCTAGTGATAGTGCTAATGATCTACATAAAATGAGTATTGTGGTACTTTTTCCCATTGTGTTAAAGAAAACAGGGCTGTGTTGCGGAGTGTATTCATTCTAGGAATTTATTTTCTGCTTTTTAATTTGTCTGGGTGAATAACTTTGTCATGCATGGCTATGTCTATAATTCCTTAAATGTGCCCCAAATACACCAGCTGACCAATTATGTCAATGCCTAAATGGTATCTAAAACCTCACAGGAAAAAAAGGCACAAAATGCTTCGGTCATCTGAATTTTGAAATGTGACTGAAGGCTACCTCTGACCAGTGTGACCATTTGTTTTCCCACAATGATTGTGGGGAGTGTTTCCAGAGGTGAGCTGAGACTCAATCCTGGACGTGGCCTCCTAGTCCTTCATGGGAATGGGAGAGGATCCTCTGGTAGAGGAGAGAGAAACCAGTTCCTGTGCCAGCAGTGCTAAGACATATAGCTCTAACAAAAACTGCTTGCTATGAAGAGCTTGCAAACAACCTATTTGTTTCTATGGAGCATGAAACCAGTCCCACGTGTCATTGATTGTAAACAGGAAAAAAACCTAAAACATTACACAGCAGTTTTTACCTACTAAGCCAGTGGGCAGTAAGAGGAAGCAAATATTAACCTTTGCCTCCCACTTAATCATGTTTCTCTTCATTCATCACAGATGCAGGTCCTTTTTTAAGTTTTTATAGCATTAAGCTAAATAAAGCAGACTATATCCCAGACTATATAGTAGTGGGAGTGGAACAGAGGTTCAGATTAATCAGAACAAACATATTTTCATCCTCTTTGGAAGACCTGTTGCAAAAGGTTATCCAAGATGGGCTACAAAACTTCATAAACTCTGGAAGGGGGGAGAAGCGTGCCATGGGTTGGTAGCAGCTGGAACATTTAGGGGAGAGCTTTGCTAGACTCCAGTCATGGTCAACTCTTTTTCTTTGATCTGTCTTGAGATGTGGTAGTATGTTTAAAGCTGGAAACAGCACTTTTCTAATGTTCTCTAACCTCAAAAACAAGATGCCAAACATGAGGTGTTTTTTTTTTTTTTTCTTTTTCTTTTTTCTTTTTTTCCTCCTTTCTTCCCTCCAGCTTGTTCCTGCCAGAACAGACTATTCAATCGTGTGTTTTGCAGCCAGGCAGAACTGTGCATCATGATTCCCTCCACTGAAGGAGAGGAGAGCTGCAGTATGGGGATTGAGAGGGCTTTTGTTGCTGGAAGGAATTTTTTTACTAGCTTTTTTCTCTGTGTGCGAGAAACATAAAGTGCTCTGGAAATGTACAGATTCTTCCTGCCAAGAATGGTTGTTTTCACAGCTCCCCTTTTGCCAATTTCAAACCAGTTAAGAAATAATAATAATAAAAAAAAAACTTTTCACATACATATCCTAAACTCCCTGGGTGACAGATATTGTTGAGCAATAGAATCGGTAAAAGTGCCAAAAAAAACTATTTCCCCATAAGAATAGAAGAATCGAATATGAATACTGATGCTAAGGTGAAGAGGGAGTTTTCAGTAACAAAAACAAAGGCAAGGCTTTGACATTATTAGCCAACTGTCTTAATTAAGCTAGAAGTATGATATTCTGATATTTCTAAGGATCTTGATCAGCTCCTCTGCCTTTAGCTTTATTTTTTTCTCCGCAAAATATTTCATGCAAAATAATTAATTTATGTCCAAATGCAATGAACATCACTCATTCTGAATGCATGTAACATTTAAGGAGGACTTCAGCAAAACATTCCACTCCCCACGTTGATCTGACATAATGCTATTCTAATTGACAGGCTGGTTCTAGACCCAACATAGTCCTCTATGTGCTGTGATAGAGATGTAGATGAACAGGGCATGAATCAATACTAAATATTCCATTGAACTTGCACAAAAGGGATAAAAACTGTTTATGAGTCAGATTGGAAAGCAAAGGGAAGTTTGTAACTTACTTTTCTGACACCTTCTTCCAGTGTAGCCCTCGGTACAGGAGCACACGTTGGTTCGAACACAGTGCCCACCATTCTTACAAGGAGGAATGCAAACAGCTAGAGGAAGGAAAGGAAAAGTTTAGTGCACTGAAACCATGCCAGGTATCAGTGTTACATACATATAGCCTCTATTTGAGTGTCTGTGCTGGGAGAAACACCTGCAGAGGCTTTTTGTTCAGTCAGAGTATATAAGGTGTTTCTCCAAAGGGTGATTCGGTCAGACATCAAGCTGAAAAACTTGATTCTCCCTTGTTTCTGGAAGGACTGTGGGACGCGACTCCTCGCACCTGAGGGTCTTTTTTAGATACCTGCAGTTAAGTGGTAGGAATATCGCAGAGAATCTCTGGTTTTTAACTCTAGCTAAAGGGCTTTTCCAAGGTCTGCTGCCCTTGAAATATAGAACAGTGTTTGATATTTGATAACTTTGTTTTGATACTGTTTCTTCCCCCTTTCTCAATGAAAGTGGAGGAAGGATTTTGCTGTTCTCTAGCACCCATCCACTCTCTCCCCATACCACTTCCATATTCCACAAATGTAGAGATTTATTTTCAAATTTTTGTTTTGTTTAAACCAGAACTCTTCAGGATAAAAATTCCAAATCACCTAGATGTTGAAAACCACCTTTTATGTGGAATGCCAAGAGAATGATCATCAAGCTACAGAGTCTGTATAATTTTCACTCTTTCCTTCCCCCCTCAGCATCACAAAGAGCTTCCAGCAAGCTCTATTTGCAATTAGATTTTTGTTCATGAATCATTCACTTGCAAAAATATTTCCAGGGAAACGAGAGAGAGAGAAAGAGAAATAAACTTCTAATATTGAAATAGGTCTGTTTTGGTAATGACAGTGTATTTATATTCCCAGATTAGGAGAAGTTTTTAGAGCCATTCTTAACACAAGTGTCTGTCAGCTTTTTGAGCTCTAAACTTAAGTTCCTATCTCACATCTGTTCTGCTTGGTCTAATAGGTAGTTAAAGGATTCATTAGTTTGATTTTTGCAGCACAAATGAGTTGAGCCAGAAGCCCAAGGCACTATTAGCCTCAGTTTAGAGCTCTCTCCTTTAGGAGATGGATTCAAAATAAGGTCCTATCACTGGAAGGAGAGATATTTGATCAAATATTTGAGCAGGGACCTAAGGAAGTCCTATATAAGTCTCTCACTCACTACACACTAGGATGGTCAAGCAGGTGTTATGGTGAGGCCCATGTGAAGACAAAAAATCATCAGGCTCTGAAATGCAGTCTAGTGCACACTATAGGCTCTGCAAAATGAACAAAGTTGACCCATGCTTTAAAGAGTAATTGAATAGATGTGAATTGGTGATATCACTGACTCCAAACTGTTTTAAATTAATTGTTTAGTTGTCATTAATGCCATCATAAACAAGTGCTTACTCCGTCACAGTACCATTAAGAACAATTTAATGCAGATTTATGACAGATCATAATATCCAAAGAGCGCACAGGGAGTTATGACAAGGAAAATCTCTGGATATACTGCATGTACGGGTAGGTAATGATATATTTATATTTTCAACCTGGATCTTTTATCAACATGATAAATAGGACTTCCTTACCTCTCTGGCACTGTGGCCCATAGAATCCATAAGGACACGCACACGTGTTTGGCCGTACACAGATTCCTCCATTTAAGCACAGGGGATTGCACACAGCTGTATGTGAAGGTAAGATAAATGTATTAATCTGTTATCAGTCTGATTTTTTTTACATTACATACTCTTTTGCTACTGCACATGTCATTAGAATAAATATTTCTAGTAATATTGTGATAAATTTCACACAATCCTTGCTGGTCAGTTGTGCAGGGGCATTTATTCATTGTCATCACGGTGTAAGCATTTCAGTGATGTTTTAGCATAGCTCAAAGGATGAAATAAAATATAATGTAATTGTTTCTGATATCTTTCTTTGATTTGCACAGCTCATTTGCTTTCACTTTGGTAACCTGACCAAACCTGGTCCCAGGGCAGCAAAATGCAGTCATGTTGCATACAGCGTGGGTAACCTGGGGATGGGATGTTAACCATTTGCTACTTTGTCTGAGTGCAGCAGAGCATAGTGGCATTTCGGTGAAGTTGAATAGGTATGCACCACAAAACCTTTGTTTGTTCTGCCTCATTTAAATGCCAGCTACCATGACATATTGGCTTATGCATCATCAACAAAATCACTGACTTTGCCTGTTTATTTATCCGTTATTACTGTAGACAATATAACAGGCATTAGGAATTAAAAGCTGTCTTGCATATTTCTATGTGGCAAGTACCTGACTGTTGAAAAAAAAAAGTATTAAAATTATTTGAATTGTGATCTACTTTAATTGGGAAATTACTGTGTGAAGAATAAAGATGCTCATAGAGTTTTCATTATAGAGTGACACTTTAAAGCAGTCTTTTTCCTTCCATCTCTTTCGTCTTTCATTGTCTTACAGAATAGCCCATTAAATAAATTAAATAAATGTAAGCTTAAATAAATTAAGGGTCACTAGAATATTTCAGAAGAACTAAAGGAGAAATAAAATGTCAATTTGGAAAGAGAAAAAAGCAAAATTGCAGTCTAGATGAGAGGCTTTTCTGACTAAGCAGCAATCACTTATGAACTCAAAATGGACTTCATTCATTGCTAATGGTAGATTTGGATTAGTTCCCTCATTGTCCCAGCTAGTTCACAGATGTCCGCGCTCTGTCAGTGATTATATTTCCATCGATAAAGTACCCTAAGTTTCTTTTTTTTTTTTTCCTTTTTTTTTTTTTTCCTTTTTTTTTTCTTTGATATCTACATATATCCAGATATTCCTCTAACATTACTTTAGGAAGGAAACCCAAACAGTCTCCACAAAATCCTCTGTCTAGCACACACAAAACAGTGCTGGAGAACTGAGGCTGATATTCTTTCACCCAAGGTATTGTCAGACAAACAAATCCTGCATCTGCTGTTCTGGGTTGGAAATTACTGTCTCTGTTAGAATAATCCCGTTCAAATCTCCCACCAAAATAAAATTGCAAAACTCAAGGAGAGTAATCTCTGGCTGGAAAAGGAGACAGGGGGAACCAGAATAGGGAGCAGTAGTCTCAGTCATTTATGCTGGATCTTAGCTAGGTTAATTTATGTGTCCTCAATAGGTCTGTCATTTACAGCAGTCTCAGGGAGGAGGTTAAAATGACATCGCTCACCTTCCAGGAGAGGTAATGTAGGCTGAAGGTGTCTGAGTCATTTAATATTTGCCATGGCAGAGGCAGACTGCCTCTGTAGCCTTGAGGTCTGGAACTGATTAAGGTACTCCTCATGCTTGCTCCTTTTCATATTTCACTGTTTTGCATGTCTTGTCCCAGGTGAGTGCTATAGTTGTGCCTTGGGAGGAAAGAGTCTGCACTCCATCTTTTGCACTTCAGCCCTGAGAGGAAAGTCTGAGCTATAGCTATTCAAATAGGGTTCAAAACCATGAGTCCTGACTAGAAATAGGTACCTAATTCCAGTCCCCACCTCACTCTCACTGACTGATGGAGGTGTTTTTTCCCTGAGCACAGCTTTCGTAGGTACTCTGCCATTATTAAGTGCAGCAGGAATAGTTAAATATCCTATAGTTAACAGCAGGGGGAGAAAAGTTCTTCTGAACCTACTTTTGTCCTGTCTTATACAGTTAAAAGCCATCTTCTGGAATGGCAAGACAGTCCAAAGATGGACCAAAACAACTCAGTAGTTAATAGGTAAGCTTTTGATAACTTACATTTTTTGGTTTATTTTTCTGCCTTCGACTACATATTAGAACTGCATGTGTAGTTGCTAACTTAGCAGCAGAAGCCACATTTAATTTCTTGCATTCCTTTCCTAGTTTAACCAGCCCTTCTTCTGTTCTTGTCCCATAATGTTTAAGTTCTGATTTGACTGTATATTGGTAAAAATCACCAAAAGCCAAACCATTTTTCTTTCTCTCCCACCTTGAGACAAATGTATAGGGTTAAAAGGAACAAAGCATGGAAATTGCACAGATCATGAGCAATGCATTGCCCTCATCTCCACCACAGAGACAGTAGGGCTGCAGGGCAGGGCTCCTTTGAGCTCTCCATGGACAAGGCCAACAAAGAGTGATTTTATATCTGTGGCCATGGCAATTTTTGAGCATTTCCACTGAGACTGTAAATCAACATAACTCCAAAATCTCCAGTGAGGACCATTCTCGTTGGCAGAAGCTAACAAGCACCTCCTGAGGTTGTAACTGCTGATGTGGTGAATAACTTTATTTTCATTTCTGTGCACACTAAGAATAAACTCCAGAATCGCGTGAGCTTATAAAAGCTGTAAAAAGATTCTGCTTGTGGGTTTCCTGTAAGTGACCCTGAGATTCACATAAACAGCTAAACTTATGAATACTTATACAATCTCAAAGCCTTCTGAGGTTTTGCCCTTTACTAGGTCTCCTGCTCTTCTTACATTTTAATTTTTCAAGCAATTCCCGCTCTGACTGCTGAATTGCACAAACCATGTGGATTTCAGGCAGCAAAAGAAATGAGGGACCGGTTATTTCTAACCACTTACCGATTTCGCAAGACGGGCTGCTCCATCCACTTTTGCATTTGCACTCATCTGGTGACACACAGACCCCACCATTATGGCAGTGTCTGTTACACACCACTAGGAAAAGCACAAAGGATCTAAATCTGTTATGAGCAATACCAGTGTGGATCTTAGAGATGCTCTATTACAGCAAATAAATTATGGTTTTAGACCAAGAGGTAAACTGAGGAATGAATCTGTCTCTTCCCATGTTTTTCTTTCTCTTTTCGACCCACTATTTCCATCAGAAATCTTGTATCTAAAATTCTTTGGTCTTTAAGTATTCAAGCTACCCTGTTTCACAGATAATATTATATTCCTGTCAAGGGCAGCCTGATACTTAAATCAGCAGCAAGGACTGTAATAATGCAAGTGCATATATTTCGCCATTCAGCTAATATAGAAGGGTTTTGAAGGCTGATTTTTTTCCCAGATGTTCTATATATTGAGCCTCTTTTGCAACTTGTTTTGCACAGTAACACGAAGCCTAATAGGCATAGCCTTTTTGTGTTCTCAAAATTAGTGTTACTGCATTCACTCACACTACCTTGAATTTCATAAATGTTACTATAAATAACATGGAGGTTTTTGCTTTGTTTTTTTTTTCCAGAAGCACTTTTGTGTAGAATATGTTGATATAGATGTGCATATTTTTACATAATACAACTATGTTGCTAGTGAATATATGCACTGAAATAGTCAGCTACTGTGTTACTTCTATATAGTATACTTTGATTTCCTTGTTATATTCAATCATAATTTTAAGGAGAAATAGAGAAAATTAAAGTTTTTTTTTTTTTTTTTTTTTTTTTTTTTTTTTTTTTTTATCGTTTCTGCAAATTCAAATGTGTAATGGGGAAAAATGTACATACTTGTTTCACATCGAGGACCAACAAATCCATAGGCACAAGAACACGTATTTTGAGCTACACAAGTGCCTCCGTTCTCACATGGTGGATCACACTGCACTGCAAGAAACACAGGCAGAATAAAGCATGAGAAGAAGAAAACACTTCAAGTACTACATTCTGTGAGGCTATGAGCACAGTACTTGTTACTACTTTTCACCATTTTATTAATCCAACAAGAAATTTGGTTACTGGGAAAAACTGCAGGATAAAAACAGGTATCACATTTGTAATGTGGTGGTGCTAACATAGTCGTGCTTAACTTATGTGCATGCTCATCTGTAAGTACATATTTTTGAAGTCTAAAATGGACTGAATACAAATGTAGCTCACAATACGAAACACCTTGCCCTTCCGTCTGTACAAATTAGCCTCATGGATGTTCAGTAAGCCTTAACGGGTGTCAAAAGTTACCCCAGAGCAGAGGTGAAGTGTTTCCTCTGGACAGAAGAGTTATAAGGAGATTTGTCAGCAAAATGACAAACATTTAAGCAACAATTTAAATGTTTAATGGGTTGTTTGAGGTCTGCAGACAAAGCAGAAAGTTAGATAATGATTTCTTGATGTATTGCAGTATGCAGTGTCATTCTGTGGAAGGGAGCATGTGCAGGTGTATGGCATAACGCTGGAGATTATTGCAGCTCTGGAAACAGGTTATTTGCTGAAGACACTTGTTTGTTTTTTAAATGCTGGTCATTATGAGTCAAGCAATGAACTCATTGATTCCAGAAAAGATCTGAATGTCAGGGACTGTTGAGGGGATTTCACATTGCTTATCTTATCTGCCTAATGAGCTGCTTATTCTGAGCTTTTCATATACACAGTGGAGAGACAAAAGCTAATTCCCAGCTAGAGTCTGATTTAGGCACATTCCTAATGCCTTTAATTGTTCATGGGCAAGAAAAGTTTACCTTCCTAATCCTAATGACAAAGGTAATCACCTAACATTTGGTATCATGAATACTTGTGTTTGTAACCCTCTAACAAGAGGTACTCTGGTACACCAGGTTCCAGAGAGGGAGGGAGAAGGCACTGCTGTAGGAAATGCACTGAAAATTATCCTAAGGAGCCCAGGGTGCGGGAGCAGAGCAAGGTGTGTTTGTCTGCTGGCTCTCACTTATGCCTTCAGAAAAAATACCACACTGCATAACAGAATGAAAAATATCTATCCACGGGCTTGGGAAATGAACACAGAGAAAAATGTTGTACTTTGGCACACTTTACTGGCAGGGTTGTATCTTCTATAATGGGTGTGAAGCTAAGCAAGGTTATTCCAAGGAAAAATGCGTGGTAGTGAAAGAAGATATAGAGATCTGAAAGAAAGCATCTTTCATTTTAAGTATTGATACAAAAAAAAAAAAAAAAGAAAAAAAGTTCTTACAAATGTAAAATTGACTGTGTAATTGGAACACTAAAGGACAAATACTTGTGGCACAACAGAATTTAAATGAAGCTCATGCTGTGAAGCCCTCACCTCTTGGGCTATCACCAAGCCTTCACAGAAAGCCACTGCATCTGAACTTTGCCATCCAAAACATTATGAAAGCCACTACACATATTTTAATTGCAGTTATAAAGACAAACTCCAAGAAAGTACCTTTAAATAAATCCTTTCACACAAATAACATTAAAGAAATATATTTGTTATTAGATCTGCTCTTCAGGTACTTCAGTATTTACATTTCCTGTTACCATTCAGTTATAAGGGTGAAATTTTCAGCGCTATATTAATATAACTTCAGGATTTGACATGCTTGAGCAGAGGCAACTTGATATAGTTTAGATCCATACTACTCATGCTGGGAATGTCATTAAGCTAAATTTAGTTTTGATTTGATGGGCTATAAGGTTTAGACATTTCCAATTCAGCATGTGTTTAGCTGAAATTTGAAGTGTACATCAGGGGAAAAAAATAATTTAAAAAATCGACATTTTCTGGACAGCTAAATAGATTTGGTTTAGACCCACTAAAGCAGTTAGCATCACACTTCTCCAAAGTTCTTCTGATCCAGCCACTGGCAGCAGCTCAGAGCAGGTCAGAGGCTCGGGCAGCTCAGGGTCTCATGCCCTTAGGGCAAACAGCAGGCAGTGGTCCGTGATGAAATGGCAAGGGGAAGAAAGGCGAAAGAAATGGAAGCTGTTTTCAAAGAAATTTGTTAAACTTTTTAAATTGCAGCTCTATATTTGTAAGCCACCTCTCGTGTTCAGGGGCTTGCCATAGATCTCACTGAAGTCAATGACACCTTCTTGCTTTGAAATAGGGGTGCCAGCCTGACCTGTGTGCACTTGAAACATCTTAATTCCTGCGTGCTTGGGTAAGCACAGGACTTGCTTACAAGGGATTGCTGTGCAGGTAGAAATTACAGCAAGTTGAACTGAATGACTTTCTATGCATAGAGACTGGGAAACACAAAACCTGGGAAAAATGTACTTTTTGAAGTACATGAAATATGTTTCCTTTCCTGTAGCATGATGGTTGCATAAAGCCTCCAGGTCTCTAAGTGCTATGCCAAGCGCAGTGACATTCAAATGTATTATGCTTTATTTCAGCGTGTTTTGTGTATAGCACTTAAAGCAAATGCGTCCATTTGAATAGACTGCTTTCCATCTGGCCTTTACACATTTTGAGATGCATCTGAACTGTCAGAAAAGAACATAGTATTTTATATATTCAAATAATTAGATCTTATTGTGACGCTTAATAGTAAAACACTTAAAATGATTCTATTCTTGGTGAATAGCAGAAGATAAAAACTGAACACTGGCTGCAATGGCAGTGGGAGAGCAACATTCACCTAAAAAAAACCATTTTCCTCAGTAATAGAAATATACTGTTTATGTCAAATTCTTTTCCAAGACTTTTATCTTTCATCTTCTGGAATGAACATTTTTTTTTTCCATAACATTTGCTAAATTGTACAAAGGTATTGCAGTGTTTTTATACTAAACATTTTTGGATGGTATAAGATAACAGTAAAGAGAAAAACATTGTTGCAAATGGTCAATCTTGCTGTCAAATGTATATGTTTTTGTTCATAATTTAAAGTCTGGAGGTGAAAATGGAGAAGTCCATTATTATTTTATTTGAAAGGGCTTTTTGGAAAATATCCTCAAACTTTTTTTTTTTTCCATTAAAATGAGATCATGCACTTTTTATGGGTTTCTCTATGATAACTTTGGGGAAACTCAGAAATACTAGATGATGTGTTGGTTCCTCCATTTCTGATACCCTAATCAGCAAATGGCTTCCAGGGCAGAGTTATTGCTTGACATCTCAGCAGCAAATTACTGCCTGTGCAGCCCAGCCTGGCAGGTCCTGGACTTGCACTACTAAGGCAAGGCTCAGAGGTGTGAGGTTACCTGCAGTTTCAGTTTAAAATGTGAAAAACAATCAGGTCAGGAGTGTAGACTACCCAGTTTCCTGTAATTACTGAGCTACAATTATTTTCTTTCAAAGATGTGCTAACCTACTTTCCTAGATGTGCAGATGAAGTTTTAATATGTGCAGCACAAAGGAGGGAAATAAATAAATTGTAAGCTATCTAGATTATTGATTTTGCTCTTTAACAGACATGGAGTAAAGCCTCTCTTTTGCATGACTTTAACAGAGAAAGGCAATAAAGCGTAGGGTTAAATCATGTATTAGTCCAATTAAAATAACTCATATGCATACTTAAATAGTCCAGCAGCCCAGAGTCCATTTATGAAATAAATACCCATCATAGCAAATAGAAAATTAACAAGATTAACTTGACTGACTAAATTGGGAGTACAAATGCAGACAACAGTTCTGGTTAGGCTGTACTAATGGATTTTGTTTTGTGAAATGTCAGCTGAGTGCTCATCTGCAGTCAAAAAAGCAAATAAAATGTTAGGAATTGTTAGGAAATGAGCAGAGCACAAAATGCCAGACTTTATTATGGCCTGTATCCATGGTGAGCTGCATCTTAAATACCATGTGCTGTTCTGATCCCCCTGGCTTGGAAAAGCTATAGTAAAAGTGGAAAAGATACAGAAAAAAGGTGACGAGGATAACAAGAGTTACAGAAGAGCTTTTGTACAAAAAACAGTAGATTAAGTCTTTGGGAAAAACAAAGCTTAGGGGGAATAGGGTGTAAAACTACAAAATTATGTGGGGGCTGGAAAGGTTGAACAGGATATGGTTGCTTACTGTTTCTTGCTGTGCAAGACAGACAGATGTAAAGCTAGCAGGCAGCTAGTTTGAAGGGAGCTCACAGTTCCTCTTTGAAGCTCATCGGTAGGACTGTGGACAGCAACTTTGTAGGGTTTCTAAAAGCATTTGGGTAAATTCACAGAAGTATATACTGGGAGATACTAATTACAGAGACATCACCTTTGTTTTTTTAAACACATCCATAACTTGCTGGGAGACTGTTCTGGACAGTATTCCTATGTTTTTTTATTTTTTTTAATTTTTTTTTTTCCCAAATAATTCTGGACATCTGCTGTTAGCAGCTGTTGGAGACAGAGGAAGGACTTTTGGTTTGATATGGTAGAGCTTTTTGGGTGTAAAAATGTCAGACCAAACAAATGTCAGCTAACTGATGTTTTAGCCTAAGGTTGTTTCCTGAGGTTGGAATACATTCCTAACTACTTTGTCTTTCCCATTATTGTGAAAATTATTTGGTTTTGTAATGTCAAGACAATGTTGTATTTTTAACTCCTGAGCAGAAAGTGTGACTGCTGCTGTTCAAAAATTCCCCTTCCCTCTGAAAATACTGAGCAATGCTTGTAAAATAACCCAAGAGTTTTACTGATTTAACATTTTTCAGAAAGCACTTTGTTTCTAAAGTAGCACGACTTTATTCTCCACAGGAAGTCTGAGGAACTTTTATGACTACTAAAAACTAGAAATATAATAGTCCTTAACCATCACCTAATCTTAAATGGTTTTAAGGTATTGACTTTATTTTACAGAACTGTCTGATATTTTTAGCTGTAGTTTTAGTAACCAGACACTCCCTATTGAACAAAGTTGGGGTTAGAAAAAAAGGATGACCAGGAAAGTGGCATAAATTCGTGTTTTTCTTCAGCGTTCAGGTTTAGGTCGCTCAGAAAGAAGCACAACAAAAACGCCCTGAGCAGAATTTTTTGTTTGCATCAACCCTGTTATCGAGTGGAAAGGACATGTTCCACCTTAGGGCACCCTAAGGAGCTCAAGAAACATAACAGCTGCTCTCAGACAGTGCCATATGCACAGACCCTGGTGAATAAAATGAGCCCAGGGAAAAGCCAGCATTTGTTTCCTTGTCTAGTGGATATGGTGTCTTTGGAAGTGCAGGCCTGTGTCACTGCTGTGGGGAAAACAGAGGCAGACCGGCCAGTAATGGCTCTCGTGTGGCTAACACTAACAAATATTTTAGAGTATTAGCCTCTAATGTCACAGTGAGGTGTTCAAAACAATGTTTGAACTAGTTACGCATTAGTAAAGGACTATTTTGTTTAGTTACTGCTATAGTGAGCTGAAACGTTCAACTCTGTAGGTGTTAGGACACTTCTGCAGTGCACTTTGGCTGGTGATAGGGACTGTCCTGTAACACTGCTAAGAGTGTACCATAATAGTGTGTTGGGGCTTTGGTAGGTATCTTTGAAAAGGACATGTAGAGTGGGAATTACCTATTTCAAAACCTCCCTCATCACCAGAGGAACTCTTGGCTAAGTTTACTCCACAAAGCAAGCGTGTTCTGCAAGTGAATATGCAGAGGAATGCAGTGGACAACTGTAGGCCTTATTTCTCCTGCTTATTTTTTTATTATAGCATAGGTGATGTCAGCTTTCTCCAAAATGCTCCTCTGAAATGATGTGTGTCAAGGCCTTGCCTATTTAGCAGGCTCGCCTTGACATTAGGCCGCAGATAAATCATAATGCTGCCTTTGTGCAGGAAGATGAAAAAAGCTCTGCAAGCTGAGAACCTGGCCAGCTGTAGGAAGGGGCATAGGAGTAGGGATTAGATCCTCGAGGAACTATTTCACTTTGGCTCATCCTCGGAGTAATTAGCTGCTGACAGAAGTAAGAGAATTCAGTCCCTACTGCTTTTTATGTCAAAGCAAGCTGGGTAAAAGCAAGGTCCTACTTCTTACAGATGACAAAGTTGTTGGTACTGAAGGGAGTGATCGAAACAGACAGTGCTAAGAGCATGTGAAAATATCTCATTTTAGTTTTAGATACTTGAGGGTAAGCCAAACACACTGAGATCTAGTTCTGCTCCTGCAAAATAAGGCAGAAGATTGGACCTAGTGATCCCCATGGGGTCTCCTTCAGCCTGGACTCCTGTGGCCCAAAGCAGGAAAATGAAATGGGGGGAGAGGACGTATGACTAAAACAGGGCAGCGTGAGGAGCTTGTCCAAAGGGATAAAAATGTTAAAGAATCAAAATCTTGCATGATTTATTTTAGAAGACAAATTCATTTTCAGGATGCTGCTTATTTTTTCTCTACCAGTCCCTCCAAGCTTAATTTTGAATCCACACAACTGAAATAATTAAATAGATAAATAAATATACATTCTGTCACAAGATAAATACCACTCAGTAAAGCATTTATCATCTCAGAGTATTTTCAGGAACTCTTATTAAACAAAGGTCACATCCCCTCAAGCTCCACAGGTATTAAACCTTGCTAGCAATGGGCTGTTCCTTTTATCTCGGTGAATTTCGGCATCAAATGAGGTGGTGACAGTTCTCAATAGTATCTAAGGCTGGGCATTTTTGCTCGCTTGCCATGCATGCTGCATCAAAGTCTGAAGATTTCACAAAGTTTTGTCTCATCTAAGCTTTGATCACTTGCTCATTTTTGCCTCTGCCTGCTCTAAGAGGGTACTGCTGTTTTGTGGGAAATCAGTACTGATCGTGGCTGCATCGTCAGGTGCTGATAGCAGACATTCTGGCAAGGCCTTAATGCAAGGAACTGTTGTCATCTTTCTCCTTCATCTGTCATGATCAGCCAGCTGCATCTGACATGCAAAGAGACACCAGCAGCTGGAGGTACAATGGATGCTCTTCACACAGAGCTGGCAGCAGAGGCATTCCTGGCCCTACTCCAGGACAGCAGTCGCAGGTGCGCATAGCAGCTCAGGGTGAAGCAGACAGGCTTATTATTGAGTCAGGTGATGTGGTCAGTGACAGGAGACAAATAAAGGATGTTTGTGTACCATGTCATCAAGCCCCGAGACGGAGAATGATGTTGGCAATAAGCTATTTCAACTTAAGGACTCTCCAGAGAGGTTTTCTGTAATTCCAGTAATTGAAGAAAACATCTCGTCTTGTGAGACAGTAAAAGGCACAGGTAGATTTATGTTTTAAGGACTGTACTGATGGGCATACTAAATTTATTTATACACTGGCAGCTGAATATCTGTATTTGTAAATATTCATCTGTACCTAGGCCTTGTCTTTGAAGGGAGGCCATCCTGCACTCCAGCTTGCTTTGAGCTTCCCATGGTGTGTTTCCAGCTCCAGGCATAAAAGATGGGGTCTTTCTTGATGGACTAAAAAAACCTTCAGCCCTTTATAAGGGTCATTTCAGAAATGTGCAAATAGGTGAAAATTACAGCACGCAGGATTATAGTAATTTTTCCTTATACATTTTGCAGCATGTCTCCAGGACTGCTTTAAGCTCAGAGGGATGCAATGCTGCTAGGGGCTTTACACTCCCAAAAAGACTTGGGAGCAGCAGGGAACCCCAGGGGTGCTGAGCCCTGCTGAGACCCTGCCACTGCCTGTCTGCTGCGGGCACAGGATGTGAGAAACCACTGGCAAAAGAAAATTAAATAGATTACTACAAATTGAATAGACTCGCTACATTTTTGCTTTGTGTAATGAAAGGCCAATTAAGACATCAACTTATCAGAAGGATTTCAACAAAAGGTATAATTAATGAGAGCCAAGTCAGAGAACTCATTGTTTTAGAAATGTGTGTAATGCTATTGCTTTACCGAGGTATTCTAAAATGCCTAATAAATAAGTCAATATATTGTGAAAACTCTTCTGGTGCTATGCATTTCAGATGACAGGTTCAGTTTTGTATTTGGGGTATCAGATAGATATTTAAAAATAATTTTTAAGATAGCAGAACAATTAGTTTTTCATATAATATATGTTCTATAGACAAATAGAGTCAACTTTACTCTTTCCCACAAAGTTTTATATGTTTTCCAATGTAATGATTTCAGTAAAATGAATCTGGCCTTAAGCAAGGGCAAGCAAGATCACACTCTAGTCCTGGTTTCAGTAGATTAGATATTATCAAGTAAATATGTCATTTTTGTAAACAGAAAGAACTTCTGAGTAATAGAATAAGTTTTTCTATTGTTTTAAAACATAATTGGCTTTGAAAACCAGTGTGATCTCAGTTGGCAACATTTTTAAATTTATAATCAAAACTATTTATAATTTTTTAGAATGAATTTATTTATACTTACAAATATATTTAAAGGCACAAAGGAATTTGGAAGAGGATTTTCCCCCTTACCTTCACACGTAATTCCATTACCGCTGTATCCCATGGGACAAGACCCACATTTAAACCCTCCATCTTCATCTGGCTCACACTGCACACCACTGAAGCACGGCATATTAGCACAGATGACATCCTGACGTGTCCTACTGATAGTTTTTGGCAGTTCCACATAGTCCATCGCCGCCTTGTATGCCTGCCTGAGTGCTGCAGTCTGTGCTGGGAAGCCTTGCTGGGGGAACAGGTGGGATGCTAGCACCCTGGGGGGCTGTGTCAAGGGAATGACCTAATGAATGAAAAGAGGGTGTGAGGTGTGTTTCCAAAGAAGATGCTCTTTGCTGCTCTGTCGGGAAATTTGGGGAGGGTTTGGTCTTTGAGACTGTGACTCGACTGGGCCATTTCCTGGGAAAATAGCTGTATCTGGAACAAGCTTGCTGAGCAGCATGTTGCCTTGCAAAGAATGAGCTTTCATTTGTGTTGCGATGAGAAGGAGCCGTCCGTGTTGGACCTGGTTTGTACTGCTTAAAATGCACAGCAGTAGGAGTTGTCACACTGACAGCTGCTGTTCTGGGGTCTGGTTCCTCGTGCAGAAGGAAAGTGTGTGCATCACTTCTTTTGTCAAGAAAAGTCTGTTTCTCAGGTGCTGTGGACTCCATAGCATATTTTTTTTCTGACAATGTCTGAGCCTCGGAAATCTTCCTTTTCATTGTAAGAAATGGAGTGTTAATGACTGTGTGGTTTCTTTCCATAAAGTACGTAGTTTGTTGTCTTGGAATTTGGGTTTGGGAAAGAAGGGAATATATGTTTCTTAATGTCTTGCCTTCATGGTGAGAGCCTCTAGCATCTTCGTTATTTCTCTCAGCAACATCCACACGGCTTTGGGAAGATCTTGAATCTAGGGCAGAAGGAAGATAAATACCAGTCAAATTTGCCGGTTTAGTGTTTAAAGAAACTACTATGACCATTTAGATTATGAGCAAACAACAGAATATCAATTCTAGAAGTAAATGCAATAATCTGCCATCTGTGCTAAGGACTTATCTATGCTGGCTGGTGTAGAAATGTCACAGTATTGTCTCCTATAGGTAACGATAGCACTGGATGCATGGGGAACTACAATACAGAAACTTACAGAATCAGTTTATGAGCTAGATGAAATATAATTATGCTGGTTTAATATTAAGACTAAGCTAGTAACTCTCAGTGGTAGCCAGGCATTATTTTTTAAGGATCAGCACTGAGCTTACAGGGGATAATTGCAGCCAAGCAAAAACACTTGCCATGCTGTTTTACTAGTTTCAACCTGTGCTAGTCCATGAGGTTTTGGCACTGTGTGTCATTCTCTCATGCTCCCTACAGTTGTTGACCACCTGATCTAGCATTTATTTCTGACTAACTGTATATTTTGCACTAGTGTGCTGGGAAATGTTCTGCTATACAGTACCTTGTGCAAAGATTTTCAAGTTCTTGCAGTCTAGGAGTAAGACGAGACATTGCAGTTTGGGACAGATAGATATCAGAGATGGAGAAATAAAGAAATGATAAGACCGTACTTGGCAAGATAACTTGCTAGCCAGATTCTAGTCCAATCACATCAGTGTATAACGATGCAATGCTTTTGTAGTCCTTATGGCAAAGGAAAGTTTGAGGAAAACATGTAAAGGAGACAAATGGAAAACCTTTGTTAGTACTGTGTACAGCTCCCTCCAGACGTGAGGGGCAGCATGTAAGAAAGGCTGCTGGTTTGTACCTGTCACCCACTTGTTACAAAGCCAGCCACCTTTTCGGTAGTGTAAGGAGAGATGATAGATGGGGAAAGGCTAGTCTGTGAAGGGCCTTGAAAGTGGAGACAAGTAGTTTGAATCAATACTTTCAGGAAGATTAATGGCTATCTGCTGACTCTAATGAATGGAAGAAGCTATTTTTAACCACTTCTGGCGTACTCACTCCATAGGAAATGGAATGTATTGGATCCTGAACAAAAAAAACTCACTTGGTTCTAGGGTTAACCCCACGTGGGATGTAGCTCTACTTTTTAAATATAAATATTAATCACTTTCATAAAACTCCTACTGATGTAGAAATTAGTCATAGTTAGCAAGAAAAGAGATAAAGACACTTGGCAAAGGTCAAAAATAAATTTAGAGCATTGACTAGATCAAAGGAAAACCTGGCATCCAAAGCTGTGCTTATTTGGCTGGTAAACAGTGTCATTCTTCTGGCTGATGAGTTTTTGTTGCCCTGAAGCATCACGTTTTGTAGTGGTGTGTGGTAGTAGATCAAGTTATGGGCATCAATAGTAGGTAAATACATGGATTTTACTGTCCAAGGCAAGGCTGATGAATGATGAGATGCACAGAATGGAAGAAAGGAGATGGTGAGGAGGAGAGGACATCAGTGATGAGCATAAGAAGATAGGAGAAGTCAAACGATTTTTTAACATGAACCTAAGAAAGAAAGATGAAAGAAACATCTCCACAGAAAGTTATCAGCAACAGGTGATTATTGCTGCCTTTAGAAAGTTTGATTCAGGGACCAGAAATCAACAGGAACGACAATGAAGGGCCAAATGACCTTTCTAACAAATTTCTTAAATGAGCACTGATTATAGCTTTGAGCTCCTTCCACTGTATTGTAATCAAATGTAATCCTCCTAGCTGAATTTTAGTGACTGCTGAGGGGGTCAGGCTGGCTATCTGAGTAATGAAAGTCTTTTATTTCCTTATTAGATGATAACTGATATGCCCATCCTGCAAATAAGCTTCTGTCTTCCCATTTTTATGGGAAGCATGATGTTTTTGGAGTGTACCTATAGCAATGCTTTTTCTTTTTTTTTTTTTTTTTTTTTTTTTTTTTTTCCACCTCAAATAAAACTACCAATGAAGAGTAAATATGTTGGTATTTTGTTCATCGCATGTATGGATTAAGGTCCCTCATCCACTTTGCACAGGCCACCAAACTTCATAAGATACTGTTACAGGAACTTTGGTATTGGTCAAATGTGGCTACATCAGTGTCCTTTCAGCTTGCATTTTATCATATTTTTACTTAAAAAGATACTGTGCAATTTAATTAGGATTAGAATCTGACAATATTTTTCTGGAATTCCTGAAAATTTATTTCTGTAGTTTTCCAGATATCTAAATACACCAAAACAAAGAAATATAGCAAAAGATTACAGACCTAGTTGTCTGTAGTCAGCAACTTTCTCAAATTCTGTATTACTTCAATTTATTTTCCTCACAGTCGATCAATATTTTCAAATGTATAACCCATTATCAATGCAGAAGTGTGATTGTGTGAATCTGGTTTTCTCTGTGATGCCACAGTATGATTACATATTGGACTGGATGAAAATAACACAAAAAATGACAAGGCAAAGTGCTCAAGGTTATGTGACAGTACAGAAATACATTTTCACTACCGTTGGTATTTCTGCCTATACTAACAGGGAAATGTGCAGCAGTGGGAACAACTGAGTTTATTTTCCATGGACTTGGAAAAGAGACTGAGAATTTGATGCTTTGTTCCAGCTGTGCATAGAAGGGGCTCCATTCCTATCAAGAATTACACCACTGTAAGCACAATGTAACACCAGGAAGGATCAGGCCCTGCAAAGATAGATGCCTTTGTTTTTTCCCGTCTGTGGAAGATTAGAACAAGGGTGACAGAGACCAGATTTCAGAGACAGAAGTTTAAATACCTAATCCAGCTCAACACCAGGACACTTTCCGTCTGTTTAGGAGTTCCCCTACATGAGAACCCCTCAGCCATTGGTTTGCCTGGTGTTTGAAGTACCTTGTACTGCTTGTGCTAAGATTGTAAATCAGAATCGTCATAACCAGTATCTGGCTTGTGCTTGCCAATGCCATAATGGCATTGTTAAGGCACAGCAAATTCTGATTTCTTCTCTCGCATTTTGTAGTGACCTACTAGATTACTGTATATGAAGAGGATTATGTTCATTCTAGAGATAATAAAACAGCTATATAACCTAGTGAAAATAGCAGTTCATAAACAGAGCAGACACTCGACAGTATCTTAAACCCAGAGTGAGTTATCACCACTGAAACACAGTAAAGAAATCTAATGTATTTTCTCTCTTTTGAGTTTCTGTCTCTTCCTTTTTTTTTGCATTTTCAAGCTTTCAGAAACAGGCTACATCTAGACTTGGATTAAGAGAAATCACATCCCCTCCTGATACCAATCATTTCTGTTTCCAGAGAGCCAGCATTACATACTTTGCCTGGGACATGGTGGACTAAGTCAGTGACCCAAGTGTCATTCAGTCAAGCCTTCACTTAGCCTCAAGCACCTCCGTACCTTCCTTCCCAAGCAATTTGCCATTGGAGACAGCCCCACCCTGAGCCACAACTAGCAGCTGACACCTCAAGCTCTTGCTGTAAATTTCTTGTAGACATGACTAGTTGCTTCCTCTTCATTGCTGTGCTTCTCATCTACAGCTATTAGGGTAAGAAATATAAATTTATTTTTTTTTAATGTAAGTGTAACTTTTTCATGCATTCACAAGTAGCAGACACTATCAGCATATGCAATCTCTGTGTTGTAATCCAGGTGTTGCTCCGTCCTTATTTTCTACTACAAAGTCCCCAAATAGCCTACTCTTCATCTGGAGACTGGTTCCCTCTCCTTAACAAGATCATCTGTTGATGGTTTATTCCCTCTCTCAGTTCAGAGTGTTATGGGCACCTTTAATTCTGATCAGGTTGCAACTCTTTCAGAATTCTGTGAGTAGTTTAAGAATTCATCTCATTATTAACACAATTCAATAAATTTACAATTTGTGTAGTTTTAGAGCTATTAACATTTAGTAGTACATGCTGTGTAGCACATTTCTCATTCAGAAGAATGTCGACGCAGAAATGCTCTTCTGACATATTGCACTATGTGGGTCATCATTTAAAATTTGAAACATCTACCAGCACATATATCTTATTTAAAATGTCAAGATAGAACAGAAAAATTACACTAGTCTAAGAAGCCTTGTTACCAGAGTATTAGGGATCATCCCATTTATCTCTCTATTTTTTTGCATTAATATTTTTTTTTCTCTGTATTTACTTGGTGAGAAAGGGAAAACGGAGCAGCTGTCAATAGGAAGCTCTAGGGAAATTCTGTTTTTCCATCAGCTCTTAATCTGCTGTTTTATTTGATTAAGTTCTGGCATAACTTCTTTCTCTATTCTGAATACATTTAATTCCTACATCTTCTCTTTAGCCATCCAAGCATACCCTAAAATCTTCCCTCTCACAACTATTCAGAAATGAAACTTTGATTCTTCCGTCCTTGCTTTGAAGCATCCTTAATTTCCCTATGCTTAGATGCTGGTTGAATTTCCCCAATCGCTGAAGTCCCTTCACTTACAATCATGAACAGTAACTCCCAGAATACCCAACTGGAAATATCCCTCAACTCCCTTAACAGAGGTACAGCTTTGATGTCCCAAATTTTACAGAAGTTGTAATCCCAGGATTATTTTTGTAGGAACAAAAGAGCTTTAAAGGCTAAGACTGGAATATTATTATAAATTTTGACAGTAGCTTCAGTTTAGAAATCATGATGCTTTACCTATTTTTTATGCAAAAATTGAAAAGTCAGAGGTGTTGTAAAAGATTTTAGGAACACACATCACACACAAAATAAGCACAGAGAAAAGTTAATCCCCTCTTTGAAAAATGTGGAAGTAGAGGATACTAGTAATAACTTTTCTGTAAGAAGTGTCCAGATCTCGAATTCACAAATCAGAAAGATGTGAAGCTCTGTGTGTGAGCCACTAGCTGTGCATAGGCAGACAGAATAAACCAGCCAGGCTATTTGGCTCATGCTGGGCTAATGCAGCTCGACAGCTTGTGGACCTAACGTGCCCTACATCCA